AAAATGCCAAACCTAATTAACCTGAGTAAAACGTTATCATTTGGAGAAAGAGTTGTTTTTTATTGTTCCCTCTGCTAATAAACAATTATCAGTAGAGTTTGTGACAAACACTACGCGTCCTTTTTTTTGGATGATAAGTTGTTATTAGTCAGAACAGAACAGAACATATCTTTTATTTTCACCCAAGCATTTTTCAATACAATATTAATTGGGGCATAACACAATTTTATATAACAAAGAATGCATAGTTCCGGTATGAACAAAAAAGTATATAATCATTTAACACAGTACATTGCCAATGAGAAAAAAAAACACAACAAAAAAACTTTACTAAATTAGAAAAAAATACAAATATCTTTCACTTCTTTTTTTCCTGATTACTAGTACTTAGCTTTGAAAGTTGTGTTATTATGGAACCGACTAAGATAGCCAAAGTGACAAAACAGTTTCTAAAGAGAAGTTTAGCGGTTATATGTGCTGTTTTATTTGTTTGTTTTTTTAGAAGGGATCAATAGCCTGAGCAAAACGAGATAAATGGTTATAACTATTAAAATGCTAGTATACGAGAGAAGTGTGTTTGATGAACTATTTTAACTGAAGCCAAAAAGACGTGAACGAAATAAGGGAATATATTTTGCACAACGTTGATGCCTTTCCGTATTATGTTAACATTGAAGCTAAATTAAAAAATAATGTAGGAAAAACAAGTCAAAAATACGGAATTAATCTTTGAAAATCCCTTTTATTTATTTGGCCCCTTTGGGCTTTTAAAAAACATATAAACCAATTTTTAAAAAACATAAACCCCATAAAGAAAATTTTTGGAAAATTTACACGGGGAAAACGATCAAAATATAATTTCCCAACACCTTAAATTAAATGAAGGAATTATTTAAAATTTTTTCGCATGTGGTAACCTTACAAAAATATAAAAAACAACCCTTTTTTGAATAGACATTAAAATCTTGTATGGGATCTTTTCTGCAATGATTAAGGTTTTCTCTACTTTTATGTAAATGCTGTCTACATCAATTCTTTGGCCCTATTACTGGCAAGTCAGTAATTGGCGTGACCTACTTTCAATTAAAACAAAATTAAAAATCTCTACGGATGTTTTTAACATAAAATTTGTATGAAATTAACTACAATCTCCGTTGCTATAATTTAATAGTAGAATAAAACAACTATTGTAAAAATTGCCAGTTATTTTAAACAAATTTGGGATTAAAACTATTTGGTAGGGTCAATATCCTAGCAAGTGTCCAATCAACTGTACGGTAGATTGGTGGAGAGAGATATTGACGGAACTATGAGCGACAGATGATGTGATAGCTACACATATCTAAAAGTCAAGTAAGCATTAGACCACGCTCTTTCGCGTGTGTCGATGAAGACCTCATGTTGCTATAGACACAGTCGGCGGGAAAGCTGCTTATACTACACGAAGATTGTTTATATTATTCGTGTTATTACACAGGCTGACAGGCTGTACAATCAAACTTATAGACAATGCAGGAAAGAGCTGGACAACATAAAAACATTGACGTAGCAGTCAATGCCATCACTGCCCCACCAAATCCAGCAGAACCTATTCCACCTAACCGGGTTACAGACGACCAAGCGGCTCTAGTCTTCCCATGAAACATTCGGACGGGAAGAAAAACAAGTACAGCTGAAATGAAATAAAAAGATACATTTAATACTTTGGAAGTACACATGTCTTTAAAGGTGCACAACTACACATGCTGAGCAACATTCCTGTAAGGTTTCATGACTCTAGGTCAATTACTTTTTGAGCTACGTGCGACACAAAAAGAGCCGTGTCACGACAAAACCAACATAATGGGTTTGCGACCAGCATGGATCCTGACCAGCCTATGCATCCGCATTCAGTTTCTCTACTTGTAATAGGGTTTGTAAGCGAACAGCATGGATCCTGATCAGACTGTGCTAATGTGCAGGCTGGTCTGGATCCATGCTGGTCGCAAACCCATTATATGTTGGTTTTGTCGTGACACGGCTCAAATATCTTTGGACAGGGCCTTGAAGTAGACTAGACAAAAGTTGACCTTCATTCATAAATGATCCCTGACCTTCAAAGTCAAATGTCAAAATTTTTGATTTATTTTGCTATTAGTGGCTAAAACTTTGATAATTTTGAATGGATTTTCTTCAAACTTGAAAACAACAATCTGTTAGGATAGACCTTCAAGCTAATCAGACACAACTTGACTTCACTCATAATGATCTTGAACTTGAAGGTAAGTTATTGCATTGACCGTCAAGGTCAAATTAATGAAATCCATATAACCAGCTATAACTTTAAAATGACATTGACCATCCAGGTCAGATGATTGAATTTCGCTTACATTTCCTTAATTTAGTCATTTATTTATGGAAATGATTCATAACTTAGTCATTTATTTATGGAAATGATTTATACTTAGACAAAACAAGTGTGACTAAACAGATAAGTTAAACTAGAAAAAAATGTGCATATTACTAAACGCTATAATTTTATTAATATTATTATTTAAATATTCAAAGTGCTTGGTAGCTTACAAAGGATTTTTCTCTAGGTGAAATGTGCAAATTTCTGTTTTAATGATTTTGCCATTAAACTTTGGTTGCTACACAAACCACTGAATGTATTCATACTGGAACCAGTCATACTGGTTATAACATAAAAATCTTACACCAGCTATCAGTACAGATTTGAACATCTAGCTTAAGCATATTTGTTTTCGGCAAATATGCTCTGCAGAGTTTTCTGTAAACAGTTACCTGTGAGCTAGAAATTCCCCCTTTAAAGCCAGGGGTGTAAGCAAGGTTTTTAGCACCCGTGCAAACAATAGATTATCCTGTCTGATATGCAAGAAATTGTTGTTGTGACATGGTTTAACCATACCTCTAGCATGGATAATTCAGATCTGATAAGAAAAAAAATACTTTTAATTTGAGAACTATCTAGTCAAGCAGTTAGCAAATCTAGGAAACCGAATACTGATAATAATAAGTAAAAATTTTTTAAAATAAAATGTCTCCCCAAAAAGTTTACTAAAAAAAAAATTAAATTTTTAATAAAAGTTTTTTAAAAATTTCTGGTTTCAAGCCAGAAATGTATCTAAGTGTATCTTCTTCTTCACTCCAGTTAATGGTTGAAACTTGCCAATATGACTTCTCGCAGTGTCAGTTTATTAAAAACCCACTATATCCGCGCCCCCCCTAAATGATAGTAAACAGTAAAATAACTTCTTTAGAATTTAATATAATTATATTATTTTAAAAATTAATTTTTTACAACATTGCTTTTGCTGATTTTTTTGTTTTGATATTATATGAAAGAAACTGGGTATTAAATTTAATATTTGGTATTAGAAGCTGGATGTAAGTACCCCGGCAAGAATTGAATATAAAAGAACATTTCAAAGAGAAGATGTGCACCTCTTTCCAAGCTGGAAATATGGTATTTCCAGGTTAATGTTTCTTTATTACATACTTATAAATAAAATGATAAGAAATATTGATGAAATTAAATGTTATTTTCACTTTCCTTATTTTCACTGCAAAAAAAATATTTTTCACTGCAGTGAAACATATTTTCACCGGTGTCTTGCCAGACTAATTTCTGCTATATTCAGCCGAGTTAGTCTTCATATTGTGATGTCAAAAAAGAGAAATGCATATAATAAACAAGTAAATTTAAGTACTTTCTATAAATAGTTTGTAGTATGAAAATTATCATGTTTCACTTGTGGCAACCACCAACTCAATGAAATATTTATGTTTATACCACGCAATGAAAATAAATATTGTATTTATAGAAAAAACGTGGCTATTCTCTATTTCTTCAGTTATAATTTATGTTTATTACCTGACTGTAATGACTTGAAAAGTGAAAACTTGATTACAAGTCTAAAGATCATGTTTATGATTGAAACATGTTTTTTGGGGTTATACATTATTTGGAAATATAAAATGTTGAGCACCTAACTATTGTTGTGTTTTAACTTGCCAGGAACTTTGATTTATTGGTGTAACATTGCTGTAAGATTATAGTTTGGTGCTTAAAATAAATTTGGTACCCAATCATTCCTGAAATAGTGTATTCTGCAACCAGTGAAAGAATGTGTAGATCTCCTCTGCTAAAACGAAAGATCTTCTAGCATGTAAGTTTATAGGACAGCACAGTGCAGTTAAAAGGCACAGACACTTGGGATGTGGAGCTCGTGTGTGTGTATTATTTTAGACCTTGAAATATGATTTTTTTTTCAAAACAGCTTATATTAATTTTTTTTACATATATGATCAGTACATGTGCTGGGATTGACAAAGATATATCTTATTTGGATTTTAAAGGCACCCCAAGTGTCTGTGATAAAAGGTATCTATCACAGGGACACAGCCCAGTGTTGGGAAAGTGTAAAAAAGTAATTCTAAAAAATATATATATAAGTATATATATTATAATTATATACAGTATATTTTTTTTTTAGAATTACCTTTTTACACTATCGTGGCCGAGATGATCGAGTCGGTCGAGTTCATTTAGGGCCGAACAAGATGATTTCAACTCGGCATTTGTGTAATTCACTCATAGATTGACAGCAACATTCACCACTGTATGTTTATATTTTAAAAACATAAGGAGTGGTCCATTAGTTACTTCATATTTACTTCATAGTAGATCTATGCAAAATATAAAAATCCAAATTAATTTGTAGAAAATCATGAACATCCGAGCGGCTATTTTAAAGCCGAAACATTGATTAAAATTGTTATTATTTACTCGTAAAAACAGTCAAACTCCTTCGCTTTAACCATTACTTTATTGATGCAATGAAATATTGACAGTATTTAATTTAATTGCAACAGGAAATGTTCTCCACTAAAATAGTCTTACGTTTCTCACGTCTGACATTTTTCACGACCCTCCCGTGAGATTCGTAAGATCTTACATCTTTCACGGGTCTGACGAATCTCACGCTACACCGGCAGACATGGTCGCTGGGGCAACTGATGTAGGTCCAGTCAATGTGACGGCATTCAGAGCCCAAAAAGCACCTGATGTAGGTCTGGTCAACGCACCAGCATTCAGGGCGCTTGAAAGTCCGTTCATCAGTACGGCAAACGAAAGTCCGTTCATCAGTACGGCAAACACAAAACAATACTCAAACAAAACAAATGCTATATATTCCGAAATGGAACAAATATTATCTCAGAATTCAAATTTGAATCAAAGAATATGCAATACATCTTCTGCAATGCAAAAAGATCAAGGAAAAATTGTGGGTCAGTCCTGTGAGACCTATTGCACTGGTATGCCCTTCAGATTTTCTATTCAAACTAGAGGTAGTCAATGCACTATTAACTCATTTTGTGCTTTAATATATTCAAAATATTCTGATTTGATAACAACAGAAAATATTGATGAGGTACTAAACATTAGAGATATGCTGTACAGGGATGTTGTTAATAATTTAAAACAATTTGGTAAATTTAAGCACCGATTGTTAAAGGAATAGGAATGGATTGATTGATGTCCGTCTAATATAAATATTCATCATTAAAAAAGAGGAACCATGACAGTTTTCCTATTGACATCAACCCTATAAGAGAGAAATTCGTGTTTTAAGACACTATTGTTTACTTGAGAAATAAGTTCATGGGCGCCGCCATTTTGGCGTTCTGTCATTCTCGCGAGACAGACGAGACCGAGATTGTGACGTGTAATACCACCTCCGGTATAGGTGTATACGCTGGTACAACTGAAATATATCTTGATGAAGAACTTATTAATTTTATTGCGTACATTATAAATTATTTATGAAAACATCATATGGAACTGAATTGCTTTAATTAATTAATTGAAGACGCCGCGACATTAATTATTATTTCTCCGATATTCAAGCTTGCTGATGATCCCACCACATGATTTAAGCAATGACTGCTTAATTTTCAAAGATAAACCATAAATTTAATTTGGGTACTATGAGAAACTTCTTCAAATTGACGATATATCCTTTTATTTTGTACTTAATTTTCGCTAGACAAGCTGTCCAAATAGGGTACATCGTCGGTCATGTATCTTTTTTTCAGGTAAAATACCAACTAAATCCGATATATATCTACTTACCAAATTCCTTTCCCCGACGGATACGCATTTCTACTACCGTAAATTTAATCCAATAAAACAAAAAAAAATCATAAATCTACTTAATATTTAAAATGATTATTGGTAACTGAAAAAAATGTGTTGCTATTTTATGACGTGCTGTAATTTACTATAGTATAATTTGACAGGTGTGGAACCTAATTCCCCCTAAGGTCATTCAGTTCACTGATGAAGCGTAAAAAATAGATGTCTATTTCGTCATTAGAATATTTGACAAGGGTGATTAACCAATCAGGGCAACATTGTGCATGATCAAAAGGTCTGTCGGCACAGAGGCATACAAGGAGCAATAAAAATCGTCAGTACACAGTGTGACAGGAGCATTTGGTGCAAATTAGGAACAATTAAAATGGACAATGCGCAGTATTAGACATGAGTAGTAAGAACCAGCAATTGTGTGAATAAATTATGCAAATAAGACCTTTGAGCAGCCAATAAAAATGATTTGCCTGCAGTTAATATTAGGCTACGATTACGATGCGCAGCATCATACGTTGACAGACATGTTAACAATTTACTTTTCAAAAGAGTTGCTTATATTTTTGAAATGTGTACATCAATTATAACATATGTTCACACCTTTAAATTGGAAAGTCAGAATCAAACTGCAAAAATTTAATTATATGTACTATTAAGAACACGTTTTAGTAGGGTTTTTATAATGGAAGTGGCCAGCGTACGTGCCCGTACGGATAGCCAAAAGTTTTAGCCGTACGTGAGTCACGTACGACTAGCAAGGACACGCTGTATTGGCTAGCCGTACGGCACTTTTCAAAATTTTATGGAAGTCGAAAATGCATATGTTATTATATGACTTTAAGCGAGGATTTTAACCAAGAAACAGCATTAATTGCCTTTGGATGTTCACTTTTTAGAGATTAATCGCCTTGATCGCTATATATATCGATCTTTGTCAACGCAAGATGTCGAGAAAAAAAATAGCCTTTGCTTGCATTTACACCAATTGAAATAGTTTACAAAATTTTGATAATAATCCTTTTTTGTTTCATTAAGTTTAATTTTCGACACCTTTTATATGAAAAAAAACAACAACAAACACTGAAAATGATTGTTGTTAGGCTCTTGATAATTGCGACAATTACCGACTGAACTGTATAGAAGTTTGTCCATCAAGGAAAGTTTGCATGTTCCGTGAAAGGCATTCTAAAATTCTATTGTCAGTCCCTGGATAGGTTTTAATAAAGGCTGATGAATTGATTGACTGTGCTTTTATGTTCGATATTTATCTACTGTTTTGAAAATTATATAATTATTTTTGCATTTCACCGGTTTTTTTTTTGTTTTTGTTTTTTTTTCATTCAATGTTCTTTTTATTTATTTATTCCACTCCGATCATTTTTTATTCGATCCATGTGCTTAAAATTAACAAAAATGATTTAATAATTCATACAAATAAAACAACAAATGATAAGCATGAAAATCAACAATTTTATAACGTTCGACTTCCATATAATTTTGAAAAGTGCCGTACGGCTAGACAATACGTACAGTGCGTCCTGGCTAGTCGTTCGTGACTCACGTACGGCTAGAACTTTTGGCTAGCCGTACGTTTCTTTATTTTTTATTTTTTATTTTTTTTTTTTTTTGTGATATTGTTACGTATTTTGAACCATAAAAAATCTCCTCTACACCTCCTGTTTAAATTAAATTGTCTGGTCATTAATATTTCCTTACGATTCAACTAGATTTATCATGAATCTAAAGATGTGGGGAAATGACATCACGCGCACCTGTTTTTATACGGCCAATACACAAACATGGTCGCGCTTACTGATTTGTAGAAATCGGTGATTTAGCGATTTAAATTTTGTTATCATTCGTTTAATATTATTTTTTGGCGGCAGAAAATTTGCAGACTTATTACTTATAGTATTCTTTTTCTGAAATCAAGTTTTTATTCTAACCTTGTCTTTCCCTTTAAGTCTTGACGAAATGCCTGATCAAGTAAATGTTTTGTCCAAAGTGGTAGAAATAAGAAAAGGAAACATTGTATGAAAATATTTTACCAGATGAAGAGTACAGAGCTCTTCTGCGTTCGTTGAACTCAAAACAGAAAGAGTTTTACAATCATGTTGTTCACTGGATAAAAACAAAAGATGCACTTTTATTTACATTTCTTTCTGGTGGTGCTGGTGTTGGTAAAAGTGTTGTTATAAGAGCATTGTATCAAACACTATATAGAATGCTTAATTTGAAAGAAGGAGAAAATACTGATGATATAAGGGTACTCTTGTGTGCATATACTGGAAAAGCAGCTTTCAATATAAACGGCTCTACTATTTCGTCCGCATTTAAACAGAAATACAAACAGTCTGACCAAACATTAACATATGACAGCTTTAATACATTCAGATCCAGATATCGAGATTTATCTGTTGTCATAATTGATGAAATTTCAATGATTAGTAATACTTTGATGAGTTTCATTAATCAGAGACTTCAAGAATTAAAAGGTACTCGCAAACCATTTGGAGGTGTAAGCATTATCGCAGTGGGAGATTTATTCCAATTAAAACCTATAAATGGTGGTTGGATATTTAATGATTTAAGTCATGATGCTGCATCTTTGTCCATGAACTTATTAAAAGAACTGTTTGTTATGTATGAGTTGTCAGAAGTAATGAGACAAAAGGATGATTTATTATTTGCAGACTTATTAAACAGGCTGAGAATTAACTCACTGACAACAGAAGATAAAATGGTCCTTAAAGGTTGTGAAGTTGAATCCAGTGCTAAGAATGATCAAGTTAACTCCCCACATCTATTTGCTGAAAATTATTACATGCATATTTTCAATGACACACTTCTAAACAGTTCAAACAATCAAAAAGTGTCTATTCTTTGTCATGATTCTGCTGTTTCACCAAAATTGTCAAAGGGTAAACAAGAAGAGGCTATCAAAAGATTGCCCACAGATCCAAACAGAACTGCTAATCTTCATTGTTCATTGGATATTGTTGTAGGAATGTTGTATGATTTAACAGTCAATACAAATACTGAAGATGGACTTGCAAATAGTGCATCATGTGTTGTAAAGTTCATAGAGTATAAACTGAAGGAAACACAACGTCCTAGTATCATATGGGTACAATTTGTGGATTTGAAAGCTGGTTGTGGAACTAGATTAAAATATGAAAATCGAGGCTTTTATCACACACAAATAAATGAAAATTGGACACCAACATTTGATATCACAATGACCTTCATATATTACATAAAAACTTTTGAAAGAATCCAGTTTCCATTACAACCTTCTGCTGGGAGATCAGTTCATAGAGCACAAGGAACAACACTTGATAGTGTTTTGATTGACCTATCCCAAAGAAAAACACGAAAAGTTCCTCACCTTCATTATGTTGCATTAAGTAAGGTAAGGTCTTTAGAAAAGCTTCAAATGCTCAATTTTAATGAACAGGGTTTACAAGTTGATGAACAAGTTAAAACAGAAATGGAAAGATTGCTTAAAGATGCTTCTCTAGAATTGTGTTATGTCCCCTTGGAATCTATACATGTATTTTCAAATATGGATTTTAAAATTGCATTCAACAATTGTAGGTCATTAAACAAGCATTTCATTGATGTGAAACATGACCAGGGATTGTTGTCTTGTGATATTATTGGATTGGCAGAAACTAGATTACATGAAAATGATAATGATTCTTCCTTTCAGATACAGGGATACCATTTAATACGCAATGACCAATGTACTACATCAACAGTTTTAAGATTATAAATATTTGAATTAATTATAAAGAGAATAACATTTAAATTTCTTATTTCGGTATGACTAACAGAGAAATTTTCAATGTAAACAGGGGGTAATCCTCTGTGAAGTCGTTTTCTGAAAACTTTTGTTTAAGTTTCAGGCAATTCATTATCAAATAAAAATCACACTTTAGTATGAAGGTATGTTAAGATGTCATGTCTCTAGTCTGTTGAAAATTCGGTGCGATAATCTGACCTTAATTTAATTTTCTGTTTAATATTGTGAAAACTTCTTCAATACTGTTGAAAAATCATGTCTGCCTATATCTGTATCATATTTATCGGTGCACAGCGTAAAAATACCTTTGCAAAACGGACACTTTCTTTACAAAATAATTTGTAGTTGTATCATATGTTACTCGATTTTGAAAATTTAAAGTTTTTTGATGGAGAAGAATGATACTTAAGTGCAAATATAAAAATACATTCCGTAGACCTTTCCCAACGGCGATTAAGAAATGCGAGTACGACAAAATCAGCGGTAAAGTTCTCGGCGATGAACATAAAATGACTAAACGGAACGCATAACCTATTTGCAAAAATATATTGTAGCTTAACCATTTTATAATACAATTTTAAAAATTTAGTGTTCAGTTTCAAATTATAAAGCTCATCTGTCCTCATCGATTATTAAGAAAATGAATACAATAAAATCGGCACGTAAATGACAAGTAATAACGGAATTGACAGAAATTATTGCTAATTACAAGTAACAAAGATAGGCATGCGATTTGCGCATAGGTCTTTCCCGATAGCGAGAGACCTTTTCAAAATTTGCAATTCTTTCTCTTTTTCTTATAAAAAAAAGTAATTCCTGATTAATACAGTGTCAAGGAGAGGTTACACTGGAATATTGAATGTTGTATCAAAAATAGTAATCACTCCCATTTCGAACTCATGGGAACAAGTTTATAAGCATGCTAAGGCAACACTAGAACACGTTGTCATATGGGTGTGCGATCACGTGTTTCAATGTATATTGCATTTGGCACAGCTTTTCAGAATTTGTAGATGCTTATGATAGGTACTAAAATGCGACCGAAAAATGCAGCCTTAATAGAATTGTATTACATTTCCGTTCTTATGTAAACCAATGAGTGACCTCTGCTTTTGACTTAAGTCGTAAACAAGAAATGTTGTCGGACGTTATAAGCATACCTAGCACATAATTTCAATAGTTTAACCAATATGCCGCCAGCAATGAAAATACAACTGCGTCGTATCATATTTTATTTTCAACTGCGTCGTATCATTTCGTAAAAATCATTATTTTCTTAGAAAATAAACATCTATTTTTAATGAAAGTTTAGTAAATGATGCAAAATTATGTTTTGAAGTTTATGGTGAACTCTGAAAACGAGTATATAATTGATTTGAAGGAAAAAAAAACGATAGAACTGCGTCGTATCCACACATTTTAATAAAAATTCTGCCCGCTTCGAGATGCAAGTTCGCTATCACTTTCGTTTTACAAAATAGTTGTGCAAGCAACATATACCGAACGAAGCGGAAAAAAGTGTAGCGTGTTAATACATATGTCTAGTTTTCAGTCACTTCCAACAAAATTAGTTATAAATAAAAACATACATTTTTCGCTCCAAGATGGCGGCGTTTGTTTACATTTTGTAGGATACGACGCAGTTTTGATTCCCAGCCCTATATATGACGCCTTTTCAAGGCAACACAAAAACTGAATTCCCTGATAACGCAAAAAGTACAGGTAATCTTGTTATGAATCTTGAAATATGGGTAGATGGCAGTCTTGGAAATTTGCACGTCTTTTTTGAACGAAGTCCGTCTGAGATTGGTTTGACTTCCTGTAAAATTTACAGGGAAGAACTGAATATTAGAAGGATTTTCATTGGTAATTTTAAAATTGCAAACTAAAATCCGGGAATCTCACTGGCCATTGATAATTTAGAGAATCGTTCTAAATCGTATATACGCCCAAATTAAAAAAAATCTATAGGAATATCGGAAACACAGTTTCTAGTTTATTTTCTCGGATATTTGAGATCTGCATATTTCCTCCTAATGATTATTTTGCACTGCTTTAAAAATTGCCATTAATTCCTTGGTGAAAATCTTATCCAAGATAAGAATTTATCGGAATATAATTGACATTTTAGTCATAACTGGGTTTGAAGGTAACAGTGGAATATCATCCCGAGGAGAATACTGTTGAGATAACTAAAAAAGTTCTTGAAATATTTTTATGAAACTGGAAATATGGATGGATGGCAGTATGGAGATTACATTCAAGAGCTTTTTGAGAGCTGGCGGCCGCGTCCAGATTTCTGGTTAAAGTTTTACCCTGTCAAATCTGTTTTACTATATAAGTTTTTTATTTTAAGATATCAAAAATATCCCGCTTGAACGTTCATGATTTTTTTATATAACTTATTTATTTAGGAATGTATCATCTTCAGACTTCAAATATATATGATTCTCTTTAACACTCAAATCATGTGTAAGACGATTCAATACTCAAACAAGACCTTTTCCAGAATTATGTCCCCCCTTGAACTTTGATTATTTTCTAGAAATTATTGTCTTATACTGAAACTTCTTCATGTCTGAAAGGATTTACTTCAAACATCATTCCCTGCGGTCTGGAGACCGCAGGGTATTGGTACGCGTTTAACTTTTGAGGCATGGAGGAGCACGTGACCTGTTTTCGGTACATGGAGGAGCATGTGATCTGTAAACCGTACATGATTGGTTAATTGACCTTTTCGAAAACCTGGCTAAATACCGTTTGCCGGTACGTTACGGATAATCCTCTAGGGAATAAGTCAGAATTACACCTAATTAAGAACAAAAAACTATTACGTGACATTTTTAATTTTCTATGATTATAATACAGTTTAAGGTGGAAAAAGTTGAATGATGTGTTTGAAAATTATCAATGTTTCTTAAATATGTATCTCAAAATGTTACAAACAATAAATTGTTTATACTGAAAATCTACAAAATTAAAATATTCGTAGTGGCATCTGCCATAATAAATAGAGATGTTTTCTGCGAAAACTTGTGTGTTTGCTTTTTTTTTTGCTCGGAATTATTCATAAAATGGTAGGCCTATTTAATCATTTTCTTAAAAAGAAATAATTGTTTTATGTTCAACCTATTCCGGTCATTAACGGTCACCAGTTTCCAAAGACCTTCTTCTATATTGATCGATTATTGTCAACTATATTCCTGACACAAACGTTTATTTATCCACCCACCCAAACAATGTTGAAGATAGTTAAATGAAATATCTTTATATCATCATAAATATTCCCCGCAGGAAACCATTTTACTTGTAATAATATATGATAACGTTTATAACGACAACAATTATTTATTTCAGCATTAATTAACATACATTTTCCTCTAGCGTCAATTTTCTCAGAATTACCTCCTCCATTAACTTTGAATTTTCCTTATTCATTCTTTATCTTTTATTATTTCTTTATTAACTTTTATCTTTTATTATTTCTTTATTAACTTACTTTTGATTTGAAATATATGTTCATTGTCAACACCTACATTATATGTGATTGTAACGCCTAGGTTTCTATGATAATTTGCATTTTTAAACTTGAATTTTTTTTTTTTGGAACTTCTTAAATTTTTGAAACTTTCTTCTTTCTTGCTATAAATAGCATGTTATGAAACAAATCACTTTTCTGTACTTGTATGACAATGTTTATAAGTCAAGCATCTTTACTTCAAGAGTTATCACTTCAGTATAAGACTTTTCCCTTTAAAAAAGTTACATTTTGGTAATAACCAGGTATATTTGTAGATTTACCCTCAGAGTGTTTGTCAGTCCGTCTGTCTGTCCGTCCCTAAAAACTGTTGTCTAGGAGCTAAGAACTTTTCCAAGAAATTGACTAAATCAAGAGAAAGTTGTAACATTAGTGTAACATATACATCCTGAGAAAATTGGATCATCTGATGATCTGTCGAATGTATAAATATAATTTCCTTACCAGGCAGCACATTACTATGACACAGACGTTCTATGAACTCAAAAACTCATCTGTTATTCTATGTCTTCCACGATTGCATAATTGAATGGCCAATGGCCTTTGATAATATTGCTGGGGTTCTAACTTGTAAGGGACTTTTGTACTGCTTGTAATACTATGATAATTGCTTGTTACTCAAGCGTTTACATTCTTAGCCTAAATATCTTAATTATGTGTCAGAGAATTGTTTGTAGGACTTTTTGAATATGGGTCATCTGGGGTCAAAATCTAGGTCACACAGTCAAAAAAACCTTGTTTAACACATGAAATGTAATGTAAAGACTCAATATCATGAATAATTGGCATTAAGATTGTTCAAATGATTTCCAGGTCAGGTTCGAATATTGACAGCCCATATATGGAAAACCCTTGTTTACATTTGCACTATTTAAGTTGCAGTTATGAAGGTAATAATAAAAATTTCAAGACTATGACATTTCTTCTGCTTTTTATTTATTGCTACAATATTAATTCAATGCCTCAATAATCAGATGAGTGTTTAAGGGCCATTATGACCCTCTTGTATTCTATTGTGATGTGAAACGGTAGAAGTTAAAGTGTCTTATCTTAACCGAGGGATTGTGGGTTGTAGCCGCAAAGTTTCCTCATATGACGTCAGTATTGCTAGGTTTTATTCAGTCGATTAAAACTGGCTTAAAGAAGCTTTACACTTCCATTACGATGGGGCAGCTGATGAATTCTAAGTCATGCGAATACTGTAAAGACCATTTGAGCCGCGTCACGACAAACCCAATATAGTGGGTTTGCGACCAGCTTGGATCTAGACCAGCCTGCGCATCCGCGCAATCTGATCAGGATCCGTTTTGTTCGCTATCAGTTTCTCTACTTGTAAAACAGTTGGTAAGCGAACAGCATGTATCCTGATCACACTGCGCGGATGCGCAGGCTGGGCTGGATCCATGCTGGTCGCAAAGCCACTATGTTGAATTTGTCGTGACGCGGCTCAATTTTGATAACTTTCTAGCTTTACTGGGGAAGGAAGACCTCAGGTGCTTTTCGGTCATTATTTCAGGCATTAGCGGGTACCTTTCTTTATCTAGTTGTAAAACTTCATCACAGGAAATAATTCAAAGCTAAGTCCCTGATGGAAATCAATGTGTGGAATACTGTTTTCATACGCCAAAGGTATATTTGTATCGAACATCGTTATAAGTGTACATAAAATCAAAAGGCTGGTCAATAAAATTACCTTGGTTATTAATAGAGCTATATGCAATTCATTAAAAACATATTGAAACATGCAAAAAAAGCATCATCTAACTGTATGTTATAGTTCGTCAAAATAACAGAGGAAGGTCTCATCACCATGATTGAAAATCCAGAATTAATCAAACATGTGACTAACTATTTACAGTAACGACCAAGAGAAAGTGGGCAGTTAGTAAATTGACTTGACCTGAAAGGCTAGGACCACCGTCAAGAAGCCTGCATGACTTGCAGGTTACCTTAGATCAAGAGTGGAGGATATTCCGCAAGCAAGAAGTGATAACATTGTCAGTTCTGTAAGCTGTGTATCGTATAATACACATCTAGAAGGACATACCATTCTAATAACGTTTTGTGAATTTTGAAATTGATTAGGGTATTTGTTTTGAACAGAGTTCAATAATATCTTTTGATGTTCAGTTTGTGTTAAATTTTCCACTTGAGGTAGTTCCATGATGAAACTTGATTATTTAATCAAAATCAATGGAAATATTTTACAAAATGAAATTTTATAAACCGTTTGTAAAGTCTTTTGCTGATAAATATATACTTTGCCACGCCACAGACGTAGTATTTTATTACATGATTTACTTTGTCACACTTGCCTACGTATGTGGCATAACTTTGCATCAGCGCAGTGTTCATTGTATCTTATATTCTTATATAACTTTTATATTAATTAGAGGAATGCTAAGTACTGATTCAATATTATCTTGAAGTGTTTTCTCAACATGAATAATGACGGGTAAACATATAAAAACACTTGATTTTGTTTTACACATTCTTTTATTTCATATAATTCTTTGAAGGATGTGTTTATGTAGGGCAAGGTACATTTTCTTTGAATTGGCCAGGTATATTTCCGGTTGGGTAATAGTTGTACACCACATATCCTCCTGATTTTCCAATACCTACTGATACTGTGCTTTTCCATACAATTTGGGTATAATGTCCTGTTGGGGAAAAAAAGAACAAGAATAGTTAAAAGAACAATTGAAATTTTGTCTTGTTTTCATACATATTTTAACGAGTTTTCGGTCATATCTGTCACCTTGATATCTAACCAGTTTCTTAAAGATTCTCCACTGACTACTAAATACTTACCACACGTGATTTCTAACAGACAACTGACCATTAGAATCAATTTAGTACCAGCTTACTAAATTAGATGCTCGCTCTATAGAGCTTGTGACGGAGAATTGTGCCACGTCCAATAATTAAACAAACGGATCATTGGATTAATATGCACGACGGCTAACACGCTCTTGATATAAAAAGCTCATGGTCGAAACTCTTTAACTCTTCATTAACTCTTTAAAACTCTTTAATACTTTGTAAAATTTCTACTAACTTGTAGAATAACCATTATTGATAAAACACTAAGCATTTCTTACACTATTATCGCTTATAGTCCAAGGTATGAGCAATTCGTTGAAAATGTTGCCTGTGTTTGAAAAATGAGGTCTTACATACCAAAATAATTATAATAAGCCATATTCGGTTCCGATGTACCACACCATTTTCCCCAAACATAAACTGCTTTTTCGTTTGTGTACAAACTTTCCACGTGTTGTGCTCCTGTTTTTAAAGATAAACAAAATGTTACTTGAACTTCTGATAAGCAAGGAATACATATTATGGCAAAACGATACCCATATTTGAATTCAATGCACGAAGCCTTATAAGGCTAACTAACCAGCAGTTTCAGAGAAATATTGTTTGAAATGATTTTGTCCAATACATTTGCAGTATTTCAAAAAATTATCGTAACAGATTTACTTGAATAAATCACTTTCGTGTCCTGTTTATAACATTGTCATTTATCAAAGGAATTTGAAATAACTCGGCACAAATGTTTGTTATTATAAGACGATGTGTCATGCACAACACCCAACCAGACCCCTACCTCCAGTGTCAAGGTCGCACTTGTTCATTCACGATCAACATTGTCTATTTGAGGGTATATTATGTGTCCGGTCCATTACTTTCTTATCTTTGAAGGGATTTTGTAAATACTTGCTACAATTGTTCACAATAATCAGTCGATGTGTCATGCGCAACAACCGGTCATCTATCTCCAAGGCCAAAGCTTAACACAGTATGTTATAGGGTATATATGTGTCTGGCCCGAAATCTTTTCATAGATCAAAGGGTTTTGAAAATACTTGGCGCAAATAGTCACATTAATAAGACAATGTGTCATGCGTAACACCTGCATCCCTACCTCCAATTTCAAGGTCACGCTTAAAGGTAAAATATTTACATAGTTTATAGGCAGGTCTATAGCTTCTTCATATATCAAGGGATTTTGAAAATACTTGGCACAAATAGTCACAATAATAAGATGATATGTCATGAGCAACACCTGCACCCCTACCTGCAAGTTCAAGGTCATTCTAGAGGTCAAAGATTAATATAGTCTGCCATAGGGTTTATTTTGAGTCTGGTCTATAACTTCTTCATAGATCAAGGGATTTTGTAAATATTTTGCACAAATGTTCACAATAATGAGACGTTGTGTCATGTGCAATAACCAGCCGCCTACACTCACGTCAAGGCTAAGACTTTTGAAAAAAAAACTGAAAGCCGCAGAAATGTATTTTTATTGATACATACGGTACATAGGAGTTATTTCATGTTATTTCATCATCAAGTAAATTTATTGTTGCATTTGCAGATCAAGCATTGATCAAAATGTTGGACTTAAAGCTCTGATCCATACCTCAATCACTTAAAATAGCACAATTTTAAGCTTCATATAATACTTACCTTAGGCAGGGGAAGTTGGTAACTGTGTTACAAATTCTTGTGATTATTAGTAAACATTACGAAATTATACAAGAGTCAATGCATTAAGCTTTGTCAAGAATTATTAAATCTTGATTTATTTATTTCATGGCTTACCTTCTTTACTGCATTCCATTCGATCATGACCATTTTAAAGGCCCAGTATGCCCAAGAAATTCATTATTTTTTTTAAAAAGCTTTTCATTTTGGATGTCATGTTAAAGTGTCCAAAATGTCCGTCAATTTCCTGACCCAAATTTGATTTCTGTTGTCTTTTAGCAATTAGATGTGATTTATTATTTTGTATGGCAGTCGAAATACTACTTTATCTACATTTTGCTACTTTTGTGATAACAATTTTTACATCAAAATCTTCTTTCTACATGCATTTAAACCTTTTATGTGTCGCCTCTACGGAGTAGTGGTGTCATAAAGTGATTACTACTCCATCGTCTGTCTCTCCGTCTGTCTGTCACAAAACATGTCCGGACTACTCCTCATAAACTACTGGTTCCATTTCATCCAAAGTTTACAGGAATTATCAGTACTAAGTGCAGTTGTGCATTTCATCAGCATTTTCCAGTCGCAAGATGTTTTAGTTATGGCATTTATTATTTTTTTCCTAAAGTGTGTGAGGACTACTTCTCTTTTACTACTTATGCAATCTCAAAATGAAAATTTACAGGATTGATCTGTCAAGTCAAGTCCTTGCGCATATTACACGGGTTTTCCGGTTGAATAATTTTTGGCCGAGTTATGGCCCCGGAATAAAAAATGTATTTTTTGTGTGGTGCCAGAACTTGTCCGTCTATTTCTCGAAAACTACTGGTGAAATTTCATCTTAACTTTACACAAATGATCAGTATGAAGTTTAGTTTTGCATATCATCGGCTTTTGATGTTTTAATGAATTTAGTCGCAGACAAAGTCCTTTAGTTGATTTTTTAAAAGTTTTTTTCGGACTCATTCTCTTAAACCACTAATACATACCACTGTTACACAGAGGTTTGACTGGACTAAATAACTACTGGTGCAATTTCACCAAAACGTTAGGGGAATGATCAATACCATGTCTAGTTGTGCATCTCATCAACATTTTTCGGTTCATTGATTTTTGTCAGAGTTTTTGCTCTTTCATGATTTTAATTGGACTACTCCTGTTATACCAATAATGCAATTTAAACGAAAACTTTACAAGATTGATTGATACCTTAAATTCTTGTAACGTTTACACAAGTTTATAGGTCGATTGATTTTTTGCCGAGGTATGACACATCTCATCACTGATGGACCTTGTTTAAACGTTATAAATCTCATGTTTGCCATTTCTAAACAATTCAAATTCTATTTATTTCTCAGGCATAATGTATTTAAAACAGACATTGTGTAAAATAAAGTAAACTATTTATATACCAGTTTTAGACGCATTGTTGAACCAGGATAAATTCTCCCCAAATCCATTCGCCTTGCTTTCCGGATTATGTACATATGCGGCGCCTCCACCTAATTTATCGGCGTATTTTTGTGCAAATTCACTTAGTGAAGCATTATATACAAGATTTAGAACCTGAAAAAAATATATAGTTTCTGTTTTACAAAAGTAAATCTTATAAACATAACCTTATAAATTATTATTTTTTTCTGGAGAAATAATTTCATAACACCAGTTGTAAAAAATATCTATTGTAATTATAGACAATATGCAAAGTAAAAATAGAATATTCAAAAGGAAAACGACAAATCTGATAAATTTCATCTCCTTAGTAATACTGCGTTTTGACATGTTACTTTCTGAATAAAAATTATGCTACAAGATCTTTAAAATGTTCTACATCTTGACAAAAATATCAGTTTTTATCATAAACCATAGAGATGTATACTATAACTTGGATACTGTCATATTAAGCTACATTACATTGAAATAGCTATTTACAGCCTTTAGGAGAGGATTATCTCAAACCCTTCCAGATGTGTGGCCTATTGACAACGATTTTCTTGAATATTTACGAATTTATCTGGATTTCATTTGAAATCTGTGTGTACTTCAATGTTTTCCACTTGAAATTCAATTTATAATAATACTCTACGTGTAGTTTTAAACGAACTCGCGTCCTGGACATTGGGACGTGTGTGGAAAGCAAACCCCGACTGTGTTTCAATATTGATGAAATTAAATGAGTATTTTCCTTTTCCGTATTTTCACTGGTGTCTTGCAAGGCTACTTTCATTCAGTCTTCACAAAAGTTAAAAAGGAATTCTTTCAAATATTAAGATTAAAAAGAGAAAAAATACATAATTAACAGAAAAGTCATTTTTTTCAGTTCATACAGGATTTATTTTCATCTTGTGGTATAAAAATTATCATATTAACCTCTCGGTCATTCGTGAAATATTAATTTTCATACTACTTAAAAATAAATCTTTTATTAATAGAAAATTTTATTATGACATCAATTATAATATAAACATGTCTTTTTTATTTTGACTTACACCGTGAGCTGCTCTGTATTCGTTGTGCTTGTTGATAGATGATGTTTTAAACTCCTCTGTCACTGCCTGAAAAAGAGTAATGAAATAATTATTACTTACGAACGCAGGTATAGAACGCAGAAAACGCAATGAACACCGCAATTAAAAACGCAAGAAAAAGACGCAGAAAAAAAGCAATTGAGTAAGCAAATATTCTTTATTTTTTGATGTTCACTAGATTATTTTTTTATTTAAGCAAATTTCATAATATAAATTGAGTGTCATTAACGTTCAGTTTGGAGTTTTGAATTTATAAAAGTTACTTTTTACTTTGTCTAACGCATTGATTCACTTTGTTTGCCTCGCATCCGGGACTAAGTGAAAGACTCAACTTGAATTTGCAAAACTTCAATGTTACTTGTTATAAGTTTCTGTATTGTTTCATATATATATTCAGAATGGAAACTTAAAAATAGACATATCAAAATGTGCAATAGAAAATTATTTGTATCATAGGTTGGGGAACTTTCTGTTGCACAGTGCGTTAACTGGAGTGCAGGAATTAGTTACCCGCACTCCAGAGCATGCCAATTCATTGACTTATTTTTGCTGGGGTTTACATATTTTGACGGCAGAGAAAGGGAAAGCGACAGAAATATCATATTCAGATGATCGTTCATCGGTTACTTTTTGCCAGGGTTTCATATTGTGACAACAACGAACGTGTTTTTATGTTTGACTATGATACAAAAGAGAAAGAACATCAAAACACTCGGCAATCTGATAAATACCCGGAGGATACGCCCCTCGTACATATCAGATAGCCTCGTGTTTCGATGCTCTTTCTATTACATAATAAATACCGGGCTGGTCAAGCTGAAATAATATCAATAATGGAAAAAAAAGGAAAATTACTTCATGAATATACAATTTTCTCATTCCTCTAAAGCTTATTTTTATCCACAAATCAATGAAAATTTAAAAATTGAACCAAAATATTGGTCACATTTTTATCATTTTTAAAGTTTCTAACTGTAGCAACTTGTGTAGCTTGTTTTCCAATTTTATTACCTTCAAAGTGTCAAAAAGTGTTTTAGCTACATGACGAACCCTAACATATTGCTCATTTTATAAAGTGCAGTTTATTTCAAGCTCGTCATTAAATATATGACTCTATCCGGATGCTTATTTGTCATAATGCTACTTGCATTTATTAAGTAAAAGTGTTTTTACTTTGTAATGAACACACAGTCAGAGCCATACCACATGTCAAACTTAGAACATAAATAGGATAAAGAAACTTTAAAGGTTATATTTGTTGATTAATCAATTAGGGCTATAACATCTCCGGCAAAGAAATATTTAACTTCAAAATCTTATCGCTGTAAAACAAGTAATTTTCACCTGGCGGAAGTATGAATACGTCGCATGCCCCCTTAATAAATTGTGGTTCTTATTCTATAAGTAGATGTGTTGTATTTAAACATGAATTTCTGTAATAAAGGTTTATTTAAAAGTGAGCATAGCATTGCATTGACCTTGTATCTTATAAGATTGACAGATTTTATCAAAGTTTTCAAACCGTTTCAAAGGAAGTTGCCAGTACAATGACCATTTATTTGTTAAGAATGACTTATGACATATCATGTTCCAGCAGTCCGCATTCTTCCTTCAAACGCAACGTAAAGGCCCGACCGTAGTTTTGTAGATAACTTAAAAATTTTCTTCTATTGAAATCAGCAAAAACAATTATACATTTTTATTTCCTCTCATACAATGAACAGACTTAAATAATGAAAACATACAACCATACCTGCCTTGACTGCTCTATGTATTCTTAAATTCTATCAATGCTTTTGCGTTAAATGGAATATTCCGAATTTAACTGTAAAAATATAGCCCGACCTTTCTAGTCATTGCTGGATCAATTGATCTTAAACAACAAAATCATGTGTTCTTTTGTACAAACCAGATTTATGTGCGACTGTGTATCAATAACATAGCTGTCAGCCAATTTGACACTGGAAAGGTCCGTTTTGTCTCATTCAAAAAAAAAGTTTACAGTTTTTACATGTGTACGTTGATCGCAATCGCGTAGGTCTATGTTTTTTTTCTCTTTTGTAATTTCAAAATTTTTATGTTTTTGTTTTAATTTGATTTTGCACGTGCTTTGTAGGTGTACAATTAATAGAAGATATCGATTGAGTGGATATTTAAGACCATAGGTGGTCAAAAGCAGGCACCTGGATAGAACCACCGACATTCCATTAGCCAGCTAGTAGCTTTGTCACATGAAGGGTCCGGCAACTCAAACCAACAGCGATGAGAGGTAGTGGTTAGAAGTAAATGTGTTTAACCACTAAACCACAGACGCCTATACTAACATAATGTCATAATATGTGCACTGCATGCAATACCGTTTTACGGAGTCGCAAAATCGGTGCGTGTATGTGATAAACGGCATTATAACACTCCAACGACAAAGTTTATATCATATTCCGTAATATACATGCTTTGAACCTGTGGCGAGAATAATGGTATGCAACCAACACAAATATGATATTTTGTTATCACACACCTATATAACAAGATACGTATTGTATTTTTCAGTTAAAACAATCGTATTATCATTGATATAACGCACATATAGTGTAACACTAACATTGGCGAGCCTTCACGTTGTTTGTATAACCATTTTACCATTTTCTTTCCTTTTTCTCTCGCAAAAACAGTACTGGTATGTGAAAATATTTTTTCCACTCGTTTAATAAATTACGTATTAAATCTACACTCATTAAATATCCTCTAAATATTATACAAATTTTAATTTTGAAACGAGAATTCACAACAGTGCTACCGACAAGAAAGAGAACAGATAAAGAAAAGTAAGAGAAACGAAATCAAATTGTACATACCCCAAATGCAACAGCAATCATGCAGAGCGTCAGAAAATGTTTTAGCATGTTGTCGCTACTAATAAAATCACACAATGTGTTGGAGAGATCGTTGTATACGTGGCAAAGCAATCTTAACCGATGGTCAACACCAATGAATTAGCCATGGTTTTATACACATATATTCATTTACATGACGCGTCTGGCGAACTGAATCTGTTTTATTAAATCAGATATTTTTCACAGTCAACAGAAGCACAGACACAATCTAGTTTATTAATCTTCATCCTTTGTTGCTTACTTTTACTCTTACATTACACGTGCAGATAAGAACAACATGTTGAGATACATTCAAATGTTTTCAGCGACTTTGTATAATGAAGAAAGTCTACATATTAAGTGAATGATAGTAATATCACTTCAGGTGTTATTCAGTAAATTCATTATATAAATATACATGGCATATAAATAAAGGTGTAGCGCCATCACAAGACATATACATGTATTTTCAAAGCATTGATGAAAACGCAGCTCTTTTCTTTTATAACGATCATAATTGATTAATAAAATGATTTTCTCTCACCCATCTCATTTCGATGGCGGGTTTGTGCCTTCTCTCCTCCGGGAGGCTGTGTTTGTTCCTGCTCTCCTCGAGGATTGCAGGTTTGTTCCTGCTGTCATTGGGGGTGACGGGTTTGTTCCTTCTCTCACTGAGGAATGCGGGTTTGTTACTGCTCTCATCGAGGATTGCGGGTTTGTTCCTGCTCTAATCGGAGATGGTGGGTTTGTCCCTGCTCTCATTTGGGATGGCGGGTTTGTTCCTGCTTTCATCTGATATTGTGGGTTTGTCCCAGCTCTCATCGAGGATTGTGAGTTTGTTTCTGCTGCCATTGGGGATGGCGGGTTTGTAGTACTTGCTCTTATCAAGTATGACGGGTTTGTTCTCTTGTCGAGGATTGTGGGTTTGTTTCTGCTCTCATTGGGGATGGCGGGTTAGTTCCTGCTCTCAACGGGGATAGCGGATTTGTTCCAGCTCTAATCGGGCATTTCGTATTTGTTCCTGCTTTAATTGGGGATAGCGGGTTTGTCCCTGCTCTCACTAGGGATGGCAGGTTTGTTCCTGCTCTCATTTGGGATGACAGGTTTGTTCCTGCTTACATCGAGGATGACTGATTTGTTCGTAATTGTCTCTATCAAACATAAGTGAAAAAAAACAGAAGAAAAAGAAAAAAAACACATACACACATCGAAGATATCGGGTTTGTCTCTGCTCTCTTCTTGTGTGGCGGGTTTGCTAAGCGACTGACTTTAAGAAAAGGTGTTTGTAGAAAATCTGTAAAACATTTTCTATGTTTAACAAGAAAAAAAGCTGTATTAATTCATCAATTTGTTCATTTACAAGGTATCATTCACAGGATGCTATTGATTATATTACATTCGTACTTAATATACACATTTACTTGATTATTGCCATAGAAAAAGTTAACTTTGTAGGCTTCGGCATCAAGATAAGGGCGCGTTAAGTCTGAACAATAGGCACTACAGCCTGCAGGGTTTCTTTACGCTTTAGATACATTATGTGTCCTATCGGCGCGGATCTTTCTATAACAAGACAGCTTTAACTGTATGAATAAAAAAGAAAGAGTTGACAGGATTGTTAACAGTGATCGTTTTTGTTCAAACGAAACCTACATTCCGTATGTATGATTCAGAGGAAGATTTTTTCAAGCTGTCGCATAAAGTTTATTCCAGACACATGGAATGATCATGTACATCATGTATGGTGAAACGAATATCGTAGTTTAACAAGTACTTAATACACGCTTACAGCACCATTAAGATACACATGTGATACACTAAACATGTTATGAAACAAATACGAAAAGAAATTTTATAAATGAATTAACTATGTATAGATAGTAAATTAAAATATTTCTTTTTATTCCAAATATGAAATATGTCAGAGGACTCAACAATTGTCTTATAAAGGTAAACCCATGGAGCAAATTATTGATGTTTTACTTAAAATTCTAGAACAGAAACTGCATTTTTTTCAAGTACTCTTTAAAGCAGCTCGCCTCCAGATTCATGCTAATTTCCATGAAAATTTTGAAAATGTATTTGAATGTACAATATTGTGAAATTACCAAAAGGAAGCCATTTACACATTATCAATGGCACTTACAAGCCATGTAAATTACCAAAATGTGGTCAAAATATGCATAAAATAGCCCTTACTGCGTTAGTAACGCAGTAGAAATATAGTTGTAAATACTAAAAAATCAGTCATTAACCGCACATAACATGTAAATCATCTCTAATTATAATCTTGAATCATTTTACGTTTCCTAAAATCGTAGTACATATTTTTCAAGTTTGATTTTATTTAAATATTTTGACTCATCTGGAGGCATGCAGCTTTAAAGTCTGATTGGGTTACATGTCCGTGCTGTCTTTCAGACTAAACCTTTGACCTGCTGATGTACTTAAATAGATTTGTCCAGCTTTCAGTTTGTAACTGTCCATTATCATTTTTTAATATAGAAATGAAAAAGTTTAAAAGTTTATTAGCCAAAAGTGTAGAGCTTCAGCATACTTTACAGATGAGAGATGCAGGCTTGTCTGGATCTATACCGTTGGCAAAGGCTCGACACTTCCGGTCCAGGTATGTATACAAGGGTTACTGTTCAATACTGACTTACCAATTTACATCTCCATATTCCTGAAAAAAGAATTATGGAAAGTTTTGAAATAAATGTGAGAAAGAAAGTGAGATGGAAGAGTCTATTTAGCAGGATAGGTGTTATTATAGTCAGTTGTTTGAAGAGACAATGGCTTGTTTGAACTAGAGAGATCTTTGATAACGCTAGGCGTAAATGAATTATACATTCATTTATTATATTTTAGAATGTTAACAAAGATGATATAATCATGGAATTTGTTCACAAAAGCATTCATGGTATATCACATCAATATGGCAATGTTTAATGAGGCAACATTTGCGAGCAATCGCTGTCATTCGGCCTTGTTTGTATATTCGGATTATTGGTAGTCGGTTGTGTGTTGCAAATGCATTTTTTTCTAGCTCTGGCTGTATGTGGTTTGGGTTTTTATTTTCCCTTTTTTTTCATACAAAGATAGATAAAATAGATAATTACACATGCATTGGACTGACTAACTTATCTGTCCAAATGAAGTTTATAACAATCTTAAAGGAATGAAACCTACAACAATAAAATATCTTCATGTAGAGTTTTCAAATTTTGGTGATATACCTTGATTGAAATAGAAGACATTCATTCTGGCAAAAGACAGCCATTCCGGCTTAAACCATATTTGTTTGTTATGACGATACTGCCAAGCTAGGCACCCTATGCCAAGCCAGTTACCCTGCTCTCAAAAACTATAAATAGTACTCGGTTTCGAGCAAAGTAGTAAACAAGCCGTACGGTTAGCTCAAAAGGTAGAGCGTTGGTGTGTGAATCGGGCGACCCGGGTTTGATTCCCGGACGGCGCAGGTCACTTTCTTTGTGATTGATCATGAAATCTTTTCTACGGTCATTCGCACTGTACCTCTACTCTGGCATTTTGCGAAAGTGAAGGCAACTATTACTGGTAAACTGCTTGACAGCCTGCCCAGGAACCATGCGGTGGTTGAACTGTGCTCTGGTGAATTCAATGTGGCTTACTGTCGTGATCCGGAGTGTAAATACCAACACCACCACCAATGTAGTCAGTACCTTGGTAGATAGCCATAAAATCACTTGGAAGATGGCCACCAAACCTCTTGAATACACGTTTAACAATAACCATTTCATTAATGTATCACCGGCGACTAAGAAGATTAATTGAGCTCTATGTTTAAATACCTAGTTTTTCATTAAGATACTTATCCAGTTGACATAAATTTATACTCATGCGAATGATTATTTATTCTTCCTGACCTTAGACCAAGATTTTATTATAAAGATACCAAAATACCAGGGTAGAACGTTATTTTAGTTATATTTCCTTTAGATACCCATCAACTTCATGGTCTTATTTGGTAATTCCTACCAATGAGAACTGGACAGATCACCTTCCAGAATATATAACTGGCAAGACGTGACATTGTATTTGTCAAGCCTTTTATCTCATCTTATGTAATACATTATATACTTTATTCTAAATGTAACAGAAGATTATTGCTGACATAAGACGATAGAAAGGTGTTACAACATATATTTATCTATTAAAACTAAGTGGAGGCTAAACTGGAGTTGCAGATCTTTTAACTTACTAGGTATAAATTGCCCGTAAATTTAGGAAAAAAGGTTGATATCAATTAAAAAGTGTTTCAAGTATTAGAATGGAAGGGAGTTAACTCCTTGTGGTTGAATAACAGTTGGAAAGTCTGAGTATATTGCCTTTTAAAAAAAAACAGTAATTTATGCATCTTTTTAACCAGAATATGTAAATACGTAAAACTTAAAGAGCTTAACAAAATGTTTTATGAATTTGTTTGGGTTGGCCTATCAAAATTGATATGATTTAAAAACATTGGTGATTTTGCATATATGAAAGGGTTGAAAAAAGAAGTGGTAAATTTTTTAACTCGTTTCTAAGTAGCATTTTTAATTATGACAACGCATTTAAATTGTGATAAGTGTCATATATAGAAGTTGAATATAAATCAATGTACAATAACGTTTGGAAACTTTTTAAAGTGATAGTTTAAAAATAATTTACGATATAGAGACACAAAAGTTATTTCGTCCAAAGCATCTGGAAATGATTCATTTGATTAGGAACATGATTGAAAATACAAAAAAAACACAATTTGTTCAATTGTTTAACTTTGATTTGTTATCAGAAATAACTTTCACATCGTTTTTTCCAATCAATTTTTTTTAACAGCTTTATCTATACTGTAATTATGTGCTTATACGAATATTTTATATATTTGTAAGGTCGATTGCAATCACCCTGCGCGGCCCACTTCTCATGATTTACTTTTAGGAAAGCAAAATATCCCTGTACTAAAAACGAGAACTTTAACCATAAAACACTTTTCATGCAATTTGTTTTGCTGAATCTAAAAAAAAATCGATAACTTTACTTGTACTGTAGTTAAACGCTTCTGTTAGTTTTAAGCTGATTGTCAGTCGGCAATTTGTATGTCAATGTATAGTACTCCCCGCGGGTACCGCGTCCTTGCCCATTCCGGTGCAATCAGAAAATGTGTTTCTTTACACACTGAACGGGACCAATCGAATGTTTCCACCATTAAAGTGAAAGTGGAAGTGCTGCTTTTTTGAATTTGGATAAAATTGTTAGAAATATTTTCATTTCAAATAAATTTCTGTCATTGATAGGAAAATCCAAAACTACCCGAGTGTGTTGGAAATACTTTTTTATTTTACCCAATATTTACCAGTTAAACTGATAATTTCATGTTCTGACAAGTGAAGGTCTGCTGAAACTGCAGTGACGTCATATTTAATTGAAAAAATTCTACTGAAGCCAAAAAGGGCCATCAATTTACATACCACGGTACCATAGTGCTCTCCGTTTAAGCTGCCATTCAAAACATGGCTGAATGACCATAGGTGTTTCTAATTTAAATCATTGAGTTATTCTATGAATGACATGTGTATTTTCAAGGCAAGATGCGACAGTTAAACACAATTTATTAAAATAGTAAATACAAGTTCTTTTTATGTCTATACAATTTGCTGGAAATAATAAGAACAGTGGTACCATAGGGGACCATCCTACAGATGCCAATTATCATATCTCATTCGAATTTTCGGGAAACAAACTTTATTTCCCTCTTAGTCTAAATGAAACTGACCTACGGAACATACGTCAATTGATTTGAAAAAATGGGGTTCTAAGATGTTTTGAAATTTACAGAAAAAAAAATGTCAATAAACCAAAGTTAATATGGAACAGTTTGTTCTAAACTGTCCTTTAAACTGTCCTTTGATTTAAAGCAATAATATCTTGATATAGATGAAAAGCCTGTGTATGTTAATCAATGTATGAAAATGGAGTGTATTTTCATTAAAGATATATATTATTCAAAATAATCGAAAATGTGCAAATCGTAAAGTATAATTCGTTGAACGGGAATTTCATTTCAAATTTACCAATGTTTTACTGCCATATTACTTTTAAGTTGAGATGGAATCTATTCTATTTCTTGAAAATTATCAACTACAACCATGTTAATCAAAGAATAATGCTAGTGTAAGCATTTGTTGATGAGTGGAAGTACAAATTTAGATGAGTTGACAAACTAATGATAACGTTTGCCTCAACCAATTGGCTTCAAACAAGAAGTACTCATAGAATTCTAGGAACTTAATATTAAGTACTATTTCATTTAGATATCTGAAATTTGCTGTAACGAACAAAATGCATCATTTGTAAAAGAAACTTGACACGGTTTCATTTATTTTTGGATTGATCTGTTATAAAAACACTAAGTCTTTTATTTTAGATATTCAAGTGGTTGTAAAAAGTAAAATATTGATTGAAGGATTGATTGTAAGATATTTACTTAAGGTTGAAACAAAACTGACAGATGAAAGTTGGATATGTTTTGTCCAGAAATAAAACAAACAAATCTTCATGTTAAAGAGGAAGGAGGTATTTCCATCAATACGTGCCTTGTTTGCGGTTTCGAAGCTCGAATGGCGGATTTTGATACAACACATGGATAGTTCTGTTACGTTTAAAAGTTCGGAGCAATTAGATCCTTGGTCTGTCGAGAAAGGTCTGTACAAACTTGAATACAGAAAAAAAAGCAAAAACATAATAATATATTGTTAAATGAAATTACAGAATGTCTTTTAACTTTGACATGAACAATCCAGTAATGTTTGTCATACATTTATTTGAATATCTTCACAAAAATCAAAACAGTGACTGCGGAACAATGGGGCGAGGTAGGTAAATCTCGTGTTATAACAATATGCGGCCAGCAGTCTTCCCACAATGCTTTTGTCTTTAACATACAGTATTATCTAAAACGTACATCGGAAGGCGCTTATCCATTAATATATCATTTATAATTTTCATTTAAGCATAAAAGCAGAAACGCAGACAAAAACAAAAATGAGCATTGTCGTGTTAAATGTTTAAATCAAAAGGATCGATTAAAAAAAGACACAATAAAATAGATAAATAAACAAATAATTAACAAATAAAAACAAGACATTATTAAGAACCCAGCAATAACAACAATTTAATTTTAAACAACACTGAAAGGTCTAAGTCTAGATTGTGGATTTGGTTGGAAGCTGTTCAATTTAAAAGGAATTTAATATAAACAGCAGAGAAAGAATATTTAAGTAGACACAATTTTAATGGGAATTTTTCCTAGAATAAAATAGTGTTCTTTTAACATTCAATCAGGTACCCTTACGTAAAGTCAGCATTGTCCAAATGCAATTGGATATATCATATCATGTTAAAGATGAATATATGTGACTTGATTTTAATTTTACTTTCATGAAATAGTGATTTTAAAAGTCTGACAAAAATAAATCATGCAGCTGGAAATTGACGACGATATTTAAAAGTAGACTTCTGACTGATTGTGGCGCCGTTATATGTCGCAACACCGCTAAGTGTCGCACTTACCGCTATATGTCGCACCATTGCCCCTAAATGTTGAACCCGCCGCTAAATGTCGCAAAATCATTTGCCGTTAAATGTCGCACGAATTTCCCCTACCGTTAAATGCCGCACGTTACCGTTAAATGTCGCAAGATATAAATTCATGTTAAAATCATGATTTAAAGTAGTAGTATTTTACTTTTTTACGCTCTCATAGTTATTTTTACTGTAATTGCCATTTAACAAAAAGTATATTTGTTTTAATTGTTTAATTGTTTAATTAAGTGAAAGGAATGATCTGATATAATACATGGAGCAAAGTGTTGGGTGAAAATTGATGTCTCTTGATTATGAAAAAGAAAAGGTTCACCGTCTCTGTCTCAAAAGCTCGTCAAAGAAACGAATCTGTTTGCTAATTCACATAGTCGGTCTATCGTAATGAATATGAATACCAATTTCATTGAGCAAAAGACAAAATATATCGCATATTGACAAATAACAATGATAATACATATGTAACCAGTTCGTGTTTTTGATCTTTTCGTTTATTTTAAACTTTTCACATTTTAGTTTTACAGAGTTGTCTATAATCTCCCTTTCATTGTAAATTTGAGTGATTAGTCAAGCATTTGAATTCCCGCTGTTTTTGAACCAATTATTGTGGTCATGTGATATAGTGTTCACTCTTGCACAAGTCTTGGTACTGAGAAGTCAAATGTGAACTAGCTTTGCTGAACTTTATTAATTTTATTATAACTATTTTGGTGTTTCTTGGAAATTGAAGGTTGAGGTTGGTTGGTCTTATTTATTACTATTGATTCATCTTTTTTGAGTCACAAATGAGCAATGCTTTATTTGTATTAATTTAGTATTTGTGTAAACATGTATATTGGACATGTACATTGTAATCAAGATGGCAGCTTATATTTCTAATAATTTGGTAATTGGTACATCACTATTTACTATCTTGTATTATCACTTGTCATTTAACCATTTACAGTTAATAGAGCACAGTAAGAGTCAGTGAGAGAAACAGAGGTGTATTACCTATACAGTATATGAAACCTGATCCACAATTGGTATGTAAATATATGTATTCTTTGTTTAATTTCATTTAAGGTTTAAATATGTTCATTAATTATTTTAAGTAAGGACTAAAGATATTTCTAGGCTGGCTGACTTGACCACAGTGTGAATTTATAACATAATATAACCATAATTAATATATTAAACTCCTATATCATGTATACATCAATAAATGTATTATACTTTTGTTATTTAGTAATATGTTGTATTTGTTAATTTACAGGGTTTGAGAAATATATATATAGTATACTCGATCACAGCCTTTTGTTGTATTGGACCCTTATACTGACTGCTGGCTGGGGCCAGTGTGGTTGGCCATTACTTTTATGTACGTACATGGGCTGGAGCCCACCTGGTCACACATAGATAAAGTGGACAAATAAATAATCTAACAGCTTTTGAAAATAATCACATTTTATCTGTCAATGTCCACCTTCGGAACCGCTTTACTACGTCAGCGACAACAGCACGTAATACAATAAAAAGGCTTAACCGCGACACCCATCCGCAGATAGTGCACGGACACACAAGATTATTGTTGGTCAAACGAAATTTGCGTTTCACAAGAAGTGACTAGGCAAATGTCTTATTTTTTGACGAGACACGCTTTTCAATACGCGGACATGACAGGCGTCCTCGCGTATGTTACCGTTTTTCAACTTGCCTTCAGATGCATTTCGTTTAGCGTGGTGTAACAAAGGTGAGGTTTCAGGGCATAATTATAGTTTTTTTTATCTTTTTTTATTTCGATGCCGAGTTATGTCTGTCGGTGTTTTTAATATTAATTAGGCTATAAATTTAAAGACGCACATATTCAGAAAGTTCCTTTTAAAGCATTAATATTTTTTTTTCCACAGAAGGATATTTCAATATCTTACTGTTCATGCGTCACGTGGTTTACCTACTTCTCAAGTTATCACAGAGTGGTTTTTTTGTTTCGTTGTCTCGACTTTTTATCATCGCATCTTTAACTTTTCATTATGAACATCTACTTTTCAACTTCATGGTTTCGACTTTTTATCATCATATTTTAATATTCTCACTATAATAGTACCATCCGTATTAAACCCTTTAAATACGTACATGCTTCTGAATCGGATGACATCTTACGTAGGTTGACAGTCACTCTGCCTGCCTATTAGAGCTGCGAAATACAATATATGGTGAAAAGTCGAGGGTACAATGGTGAAATGTTGAAAGTACGATGGCGAAGAATTTTCGTTCATACAAAAGGTTTCTCTTTATCAGTCAATACACTTATTATAGGCGATTTTCATTGAACATTCGTATCATTTCTCTCATCTTTAAAGACAGTTGTAGCAAATAGTTAAAAGCTTTTTATGCCTAAGAAACGAGTTTGTTTTCCTTTTCTTAGAAAGGAAAAAAAGAGAGTTTTATAAGGTATCAAAGAAAGTTGTCCTTTGTTCTTTCTAACCCATTATATTCAGTTCACTTTCACTGGGAATTTGAAAACTGTGTTGATATGTATCAGGGCTGTTTTTCTTTCCTTGATGAAAAAACTCAACTGGTATATAGCATTGGAGTTAGGGTTATTTTGCACATGCTTTATATCAGTTTTTTACGTGTAATTTCATGTTCCGGACAAAATACTACATAACTATTGTCATTAAAATAAATTCCAAAATCTTTTTTTTGCTATGTAATCAAAAATCCTAATCAAATGACGGTTAGCGTGCTATTATAGCGCGTCATAATTTTTGCAGCAATGTTTTTTTTCTGTGGCCATCCTACCAATCAGGAAGATTCACCATATTTCTGTAGCTGTCGTGTTTTGGGGTTTACAATAAGAAAAATCAAATTTCGTCCATTTATATGTTACGTTAAAAATAACAAGCTTTCCGAATAAAATTGATCAAGGTAAGAAAATGCAAAAAAATAATCATGTCTTTTGAAATTTCTTATTCTATCTGTCATGCGATGAAACAGTTATATAGTGAAAAAATGACAACAACTTTATTGAGTTATGAAGCCACCGGTCCATACACACATGAATAATCATATTTATTCCTATTACAAATATGGAAGTAACAAATCAAACATGTTTAAGACCGTATAAAATAATGTATAGCAAAATGACGGCATTTTGTATCGAAATAGTACAGGATTCATTAGGAAAACTGATTCAAACATTTGAAAAAAAAAACGTAAATAAAATCAACTGATATATAGAAGGCGCGAAAGAAAAACAAACAACAACAACCGGATATCTTATTTAATAGATCTGTATTCCAGTATGATATTTGATTTACATAACGATCTTCACCGTACGGAGACATAGCAATGCTGATTTCAAACTTTTTCTGTCCAAAGGTATTTACTAAGGTAAAAAACCGTTCCTCCTACTAAAGAGTAGACTAGTTATTTCACACTGTGTACTCTATAGTATTAATGCTCAAGCTTCATCTCCACATAAAATAAAACAAACTTTGTTTTGTTGATAATTAAACGCCTCTTGATGACGAATCTTACTTTCTAAGCGTCTGATACTTGAAATTATATTTTAAGGAATATAATAATAATAATAATAATAATAATAATAATTCAAAATATACACATTTGAGGATTTCCTATACTTATAGCATTTTGTTGGTAACAAAGCTCTGAAATACATTCTCATTATATTTTTATTAATTTGTAAATTGTGTATTGTCATATTATTCAAATGTTAATGTCAACTTATACAAAGTGGAGACAATAAGTTGATTATTAGTAATAAATATATGGTCACGTTCTTATTAAAACGACATGTTTTGTTTTACAACTGACAGCTGTTAAGGAACATTCAAGGCTTAGAATCCCAGCACGCTATGCGTTTTTATTTCAAATAAGAGTTTTATTCATATAAAAGTAACTATAATAACGTTATCAGTGGAGTACATCAACTGTACTCTTTTTTATATTATCATTAATTCGTGTACTTAACATCGTGTGGTAAATTGAATAAAGATACAAATGGATAAAAAATCATCTGCTTTTCCTCTAAAATTCACTGCCTGTACAAACTTTGCATGCAATATTTTATTTATCTATATATCTTTAATTAATTGTTCTACATTTCATGTTTGTCACATGGTTAAAATTTAAGGAATTGATGTCCGTATGTATAATGCAATATTGTTTGTTTTAAATGTATGTTCTTTTAAAACCTCTTTGCACTATATGTAACATATGTTCAAGTTAAAAATCACCATTGGTTTGAATTATCAATTGCATCGTGTATAAAAATATGTAGGGTTCACTGTTAAAACATTTACATGTTATATAACTAGGACTCATACCTTTCTACGTTTCATCTATGTTTTATATTTGCTAATCCATGAGTAACAAGAAGATTAGATCAATGATTTTAATTTCTGCCTGATAGTTATGTGTAAACAATTCAAGTTCATTTGCTTGTGAATGACCCACACAACTCATAAAACTTAAATATATCTAAAGCTAGATTTTGTTTAATCAAATGCTTATCCGAGCTCGTGTCCCCTTTTATTGGAATAGCAGATAGTATAAGAATACGGTATGGGTGGTGAAAACATAATTATTTCCACAAATATAAAGGTCAAGCTTTAATAAACAAGTTTTTATATCTATATATATATACAATCAAATTATTTTGTTACGAAAGCAAAAACATCATACTATATTGCATGTCTGTGTGTTTGCGTGTGTTATCAAAAATACGTTATCTGATTTCAATCATCATATTTTCATGATTGAAAAACAGCTCACCCTATAAATAGCAAGCCTTTTTGTTGGTTCTTCACATTGACACCACCCATTTGCAAACTTAATTCTGTCAGAGAATTTCCGCCATAGTTTGATAAAAAATAACACAGACAATATGCTGAATGTTTTGATGACACTCTGCTTGGTAGCTGCTTTAAAAGGGGTATGTTAAAATCTTGTGTGTATTTTTCCTTCTTTTGTGTTTGTTTTGTATGTTTTAACTGTTTCATTTTTATCTTAGTTAACAACAGATTATTTTTTTTATAAAAGTTGAGTAATAAAATGTCAATAACTGACATTTGCAGTTATTTACTATCCTATGTTTGTTTTGTAGATTAGTAGCGAAAATGGTAAATCTGTTATGTAGATGTAATTGCTACAGTTCAATACAAGAGTTAATAATTATTAATTCATTGTTGAAGCGAGGGTTTAGTGTTTGTTTTAATTTAAATAGTATCAACCATGTTTTTAATATATCTGGGTTGTTTTTGTATATATTATTTTAGATATTTTTGAAGCAGTTCAATCAGTTTGTAAAGGTTTCATTTCAAGTAACATAAATAATAAACTTCGATGTTAAAATTGGTCACATTTGTTTGTCAGATATGAATCATGTGATATCCCTTGAGATCCGAGATATGTGGCCTGTCAAGAATGACTTCATTACTAAATGTTTTATTTTTGTATTGAGTTGAATTTTTAATTTGGATTGCTTTAAATGTTTACAACAGGACAACGCTGACGCCTTCATAGACGCTGTTGTAGCAAGGCACAACTATTACAGAGCACTTCACGGGGTAAGCCTTCACAACTGCTTTAAGTCTTGAAATATTGTTTTTGTATTTATAAAATAACATTGAATTAAGAGTAAGTTTCTTTTTTCGTGTTGTCATTGTTGTTGATTGGTTTTTATCCAATGCTTTTTATTTTGGGATTGTTGTTGCTTGTTTTTTGTTGTTGCTTGCTTTTGTTTATTTTTTATATTCATTTGTATGCATATAAATATCAAAATAACAAATGTAGGTCTAATGGTAATAATTATACAATCACTGCTGCTGCTGCTGTTACGACTACAACGATTACTACTACTTCTAATAATAATAATGATGATAATTATAATTACATATATTTATCTTTATTTTATTGACAAATATTTAATTCAGAACATTATATGTTTCCTTGGATACATGTATACTACCTTTAATCGGTAACGTATTTATTTGTTTTAGATAATTGTACTATATGTGTACGTTTAAAATTATGTTTCATTGAACTTGTTGCGCACTTGAACGCCACAGCTAAGTTATTTTTGATCTAAACTTAGGTTCCAGCGGTCACAGAAAACGCTGCGATAACAGCATTTGCTCAAGACTTTGCAACATATCTTGACACTAATGGCCTTTGGCATCATAATCCGAATGCTTCGGCAAATGGATACGGAGAAAATTTATCATGGATGTCGAATCCTGCTGCAACTGGTATGAATTTGACATTTTACCTACAGTAATGTAAGATTACGAAAAACATGAGATTTTCAAAAAAGTTATTGCATGCAGACAAGGCTGTTGATTTTGTCTGATATTTATTCTTCAATTTGAAAAGACTGAATGAAATATTGTTGTTTTTTAACATTCAACCTGAAGACCTGGCATCAAAATACCTGACAAATACGACTTAAAAGAAAAATAACTTGACCCTGAATCTGCCGAATTTATGAAATGGATTTTTCCAGCTTTTTATTTGCAACAGTCCATTCAAAGTTAAACAGATGTCAATGTTAAAAACAAACATTGAGATACCAACAGTATGAGCATTGGTCAAACTAAATGTGCGTTCTGGCTTTTCTGACTTCATATTGATGACAAAGGCTTATCACTTCCAGTTCTTTAGTAAAAATAATTCATAAGCGTTTTCTATTCTCTAGGACAAGACCACGTTGACAATTTGTACATAAACGAAGCAAATTTTTATGCCCAACAACAATATTGCGGAGAAGAACCTAATATGTCGTACTTTGCCTATTATGGTATGTTGTCTTCAAATATTAGTATTTTAAATATTTAGATAAAGTTCTTTAGATAGAATATTTGCGCACTTTGGAATTTTATTGACATTTACGTTTAATACTTTGTAACATAAAAAACAAATTACTCTTATTTTCATATAAAGCAGACATATAAAAAATATATTTACAGTTTGTTTATAGCATGAAGATGTTTCACACTGAATCAAAGGGAAAAAAAATTCACACATTTTATTGAAAATTCACAAAAATCTGCTACATTTATTACACTGACACACAAGAGTATATTTATTTCATATTCAACGTCGAGGATTTTCTGCTGTTTATTAACATATAGTCCTACTCAAGAATAACGCGGAGGACTCCATGGCCAAGTGGAGATATGCGCTGATTCTATTTGTCATTTACCCTGTCATTGGCTTAGTACTTAATCTTTAGTGAAATTATGCTCATTTTTTTGCTGTCAAAAAACTCAAAACCTTATCTATCTTTTAATCAACTGAACGTAACCGAAGCATTCTGAAGGCTATTTATAAGCATTTCCGTAAGCCACGTCCATAAAATGTAAAATATGAAACTGGAAAGCAATATGGTAAATGTAATTTACTTTAACAATTACTTGTAATCTGGAAATTTACACTTCGATGGGCATAATGTCAATTTTCATTAGGATCTTAGTTGGTTCTTTTTTCATGCGGGAAACATATATTTTTGCAATTAATGGAAACGGAGAGTCATTAAATGACTGCTTAGTTGGTATGACTGAATATGTTATAAGCAATAAGAAAATTTATATTGTTTTAACTTGTTTATATTTTCAGGTCATTACACCCAAATAGTATGGGAAAGTTCTCTAGAAATTGGTGTCGGAAAATCATCCGGATATGTAGTGATCAACTACTCGCCGCCAGGAAACTATTATAATATGTTCGCTGAAAACGTTCCGTGTCCTTCTTAATAAATGGAAAACTATTGTTATTGATATGGCCGCTATCTTGAAATTTCATTTCATTAGTAAACAACTGAAAATAAGATAAATAAAATCTTTATCAAATGTTTTATTATTATTATTATTATTATTATTATTATTATTCTAGTTAAACACTGTTGTCCAAAGAAGTGTTATGTACTAGGTTGATTCCATACTCCCTGACGTGCACACTTTTCAATACAATAGTGCGTTTCAGCATTTCTTGCATCACCATTAAATCAGCCCATGTATACTAGCGCTTAGTTTAACATTTTTCGGCAGGAAATTATGTCCATAATTTTAAACACAATCAGACATCAGACATTCACTTGAAATAATGACCTGTTAATCTAGTATTTGACTAGAAGTTTCAATACATTGTTTGGTCGGATTCTGCATGGGATGAGACCATTTATATATTGTGTTCCACGCATCTGTTTTATCATATTGCTTGTACTTACCAGCAGTCTAGAACGCATAACGGACAATACTTTTGCTCTATACTCCTTTTTTCTTGAACATCATAAAATATAACTTTTCCCTCCCCTATGAAATTATCTAATAAACATGCCGGTGACGAAGAGTAATGTAAAGAACGTGTACGAAAGATGAACATACATTTCAAACTGTGCCATTGTTCAGCAGTTTATTTCCTTAATTAATATAAAAAGGCGAATTTTGACCAATAATGAATGGTTAAATACATAGGGTTAATGTCGAAAGCGCTTACATGGATGTTTGACATTATTTGTAGCTTATTAGTGTTCTATTCTGAAAAACATAAATAAATAAATAAATATCCATAGAGAATCTAAAATTTCGGCCCCTAAAATAAAGAATGTAAAAAACATTTGTAAAGAGAAAATATGCTAATAACTACCAGTAAACTGAAAATGTCTGCCTCATAAAATTATTACAGTTTCTTCTTTACTTAATTTTAAATGAGTATACAAGAAGATCAAAACATGTTTCTCCACCTATATATACATCATTGTAACAAAAGCAAAGGTTTTACTTGCTTGTCATGTGGTTAATCTGCAACACACGCCGGTTGTCTTTTGTCAGCATATTCTATAGTCTAGAAACAAAATGGCTTTCTAATCTTGATTTCCAAACAAAGTAAATTTGATATAGTTACATGAACAATAAATTTCATCCATGTCTCCTACGTAGAAAATCAAACCAAATAGTTAATTTCTGGACTGAATTTCCAATTTACATTTTCGAAATATTGCAAGGTAACAAGTAAGTGACTAGATCAGTCTTGTCACTCAAGACTTTTTAAGTGTTGAGAATGAGAACCGCTCAAGCCGGTACCAGGGGCATGAGGGATGTTGCACTTTTTCATTTTGCCTCATATACAACATTTTGCCTCATATACAGACTCAATCAAAGCGACTCTTCCATTTTCATGTAATTTTGCTTCTTTTAATGCTTTTGATAACTTTAAGATAGTTATGTTAATTATAGGTTTGAACAAAATATATTCATAATTGCAATTCTATAAAAAGTTAAGAACGTTCCATTATGTTTGGTTATACAATATTCATACATTAACAGGCTTTATATCAACCTTTGGAGTATATATGATATATCTCAAAGTTTGAACATTTTAAAACATTATCTTCACAAGTTACAGTTACCATCAATTTGGCAATATAAGTTGCAGAAAATATATAAATTGTAATTTAATTCTTAATTAACTTTGTTGATTTTTTTACCTTGTTTAACAATCTAAAACAACGCCATTGCAAATTTCTTGAAATAGAAATTATATTGACAATAGACAAATTTTAACTCTCCTTTACAAATGATAAAAGGAAAATGTTCGGGATCCGCTCTTGAAAAATTGAAAATCAAACCATTTCAATATATTATTACTATATAATTGATTGTAATTTAGTTTATTAACAATGGATACCGTGATCGAATAAAAGTAAGATATTGAATATATCCTTCTGTGGAAGATAAGAATATTTACGATTTAAAAAAGAACTTTCTGAAGATGTGCGTCTTGAAATATATAGCCTATATTATAATAAAAACACCGAAAGACAGAACTTGGCATCGAAATAAAAAACGATAAAACACTATAATTATGCCCTGAAACCTCACATTTGTTACACCACGCTTAATTAAATGCATATGAAGGCGAATTAAAAATCGGTGACATACGCAAGGACGCCTGTTTGGTAGCAAATCTTGTTTTCAAAATCCGTACTTAAATAACATAATTAAGGCAATATAACCAAGATGCAAATTACTGCCAAATAATCTGGAAACAAAGTGATCCATCGGAAGCATTAATCACAACAAAATAACAAGTAAATTGCAGACTCGGTTTGATTGAGTTTGTTCATGAGGGATAATGAATAAGTGCAACATTCCTCACGCCGATCGGTACTAAATTCTCAACACTTAATAGTGCTGGCATCAATGATCAATGTCAAGGTTATTTAAAGCGCAAGATAAAAGTCAATTAATCCTTTTTGTAGGTCTTGCATTAGTGCTTGTTTTGTCCAGTATGAGGATAATATTGGTTAGTAAGCAAATTACAGTCTGTTACATGTATAGCAAAATTCAATAATTTAACATTTAAGGTCAATGTCATGAATGAATTATGCATTGATATACAATATTCATAACTCCAAAATTGGCAAAAGATGAGAAGCACAGATTTAAACAAAAAAAAAGAGAAAAAAATATATGAGAGGTAAACTGCCTTTTAAAACTTTTTTCAGCTATGCTTTGTACAATTTAACTATGGGAACGTCCTCGGGATTAATCTATAATTACCTCGGAGTTAATACGGAATGAAAGTTGTTCTACCACGTTGTTTCAGATGTAAACAGAATCAGAGTTTGAAATGTTCAACAATTGTATATATTTGACATTCAAAGGAAGATAAAGTATGTTTCGATACAATTATAATTTGAAAATGTGTCTATTTGATGTACAATTTGAAACAAATCTGACCCAATGTCAACAGGTTTGCATTTTGTACTGTCAGTTTCTACAACCATGATGATAAATAGATAATTAATGTTTTTCTTTGTTTTGTATCAATTAATTCACTTATTTAAGGTGTAGTTTTACTTGACATATTATATTATCAATAAACATGCCAAAACAACCAGCATTAAATTACTTTGTGTTTACATGTTTAGTTTCTTAGCGTAGGTTAGACCGTTCTGCATATTCATATTATTTTGTTCTATGTCCTTCTGGCCAAACAGTTGCGATCATGACTGATTCATACATTTATCTGAATATCTTCAGATCTGAAACAGTGATAGCAGGACAATGGCGCGAGGTAGGTAAATCTGTGTTATAAACAATATAGGCCCAGCAGTCTTCCCAGAGTTCTTTTGTCTTCACATACAGTATATCTAATACGTAGGCGTATTTTTCTATGAATACCAAAAGGGATTGATAATAGTTGATGTTATTGTCGGTACGAAATTAACATTTAGAGGAAGATTTTTTTTCAAAATGACGCATGATGTTTTAATTTCCATAAAAAGCCCACACACACAAACCCACATAAAAATGGCTTTTGTCATATTTAATGTTAATATCAAAAGAACGATTAAAAAAGAAAGGATAACAAATAAATAAATGAATATACGTATAACAAACAAATAAAAACAACACATTATTTAGAACCAAACAATAACAATAATTTAACTTTAAAGAACACTGAAATATCAAAGTACATATTATGGATCTGGTTTGTTGTAGTTAGGGGGACTTAATAGCAGAAAACGTACTGAAGTATACACCAATTTGACGAGATTATTTCCTAGAGTAAAGGAATGTTCATTTAACACAATCAGTTTGACTTACATAAAATCATTGTTGTCCCGTACTGATGGATATATTATACCTTGTCCAAGATGTAAATTAATGGGTAGATATAAATGTTACTTTCATATAGTAGTGATATTAACATGCGTTATGATATTTACACAGTTGCAGAGTTATCTGTGATATATTGCATATAATGTGTCACACTAAAGAAACTATAAAATAAATAAATTAAAAATTACATCAAGTCTTCTTTGTACAGATCCAGAAGTATTTTATGTATGATTCGAGCAATAACTGCAATTGTAACTGTTTAACAAGGCTTTACAAGAGCGATCAGTGATCATATATGTCGTCTGATGATAATATTCTGACAAAATCATGGAACTGGAAAATGACAACAATATTTACAACTAGACTTGTTACTGATCATGCTGGATAAAATTGTACAAACATTGTTTGAGATGTAGTCTGGACAAGTTAAGTGACGGACAGGCATACGCACTACAAAGAAGTTATCCGTATAAGACGTGTCTATTTTGTAGCATATAAAAACTACCGTGTAGCGTAAATTTCACACGTCATTTACAAGCCGAAACGCCTTTCTATATTCAAGGGCCGCAACTCAGCCAAAAATCAACCTTTCTTAGCTGATCAACTTAAAGGGTTCTTAATATTGATGTGATTATAAAAACTACAGTACACCTACTTTCAATTTAATTATTTTAAAATTGCACGGTGTTTGAAACAAAGAAGAACAAATCCTGGCATGATGCTAGCACATGCGTCGGATTTCAAACAAATAATCTAGGCCTGTCTAAAAGTAAACTTTTTGTTGACTGTAAACTAGATACTAGTAATATAGTTTATAGCATATATTGACTGCTTTTGTACGGGTGTGTGGGTGGCCAGCTATTGCCGACAAATCATGAAAACAATTCTTTTCCTCCCAAGTGGTGAGAGAAAATTCTTTTCTCGTGATTATTAAAAAGAAAAGGTTCACCGTCTCTGTGTCAAAAGCTTGTGAAAGCAGGGATTCGGTTTGCCAATTCACATATTGGGTCTATCTTAATGAATATGAATACCAATTTTATTTAACACAAGACAAAATAAATCTCATAAAGTCAAATAACAAATAGACAAATTTATAATTTTACAGCTTGCGATCAAGTAATATTTGATTCATACATTTATATGAATAGCTTAATAATCGAAACAGTGATAATAGGACAATG